ACAAAGAGAATTTTTATTCTTATGGAACTACAACAATTGAGCCAAATTCTGCCTTTAAAAAAAGTGGGTCAGTGGTTATTAAATAATCTATGGCAATGATCATAAATTTAATGTGAATCTTCAGATGAAATATAATTATTAATGTTGTTGCTACTGTTGCAACAACAACAATTTTAGATCACAGATCAAATTGGAAACAGGAGAGAACAGACTTATGAATGAAGACATGCAAAATGGACAGATTGGAAACAGATTGTCCTGTCCAGTTTTATCTCTCCATATCTCAGGGTCTTCCCCTCCCCCTAAACAGTAACCTCTTTTTTGTTCGTAGCCCCATTTCTCCTCCAGAGTGATCAGCACGGACCACTCTAGTTGGCTGCTAAAAGGAATGATCCATCTTTCTCTCTGTAACAAGCAGGGAAGGTTGGTGTGGGGGGAACATGCACTTCAGGCCTCTGAATGAATAAATGATGGCCTCTAGTCTTGAGGGTTGTCAGTCTGGTGTGTCTTGCCAGCAGCAGAGTCACTGGAGAGGAATGGAAGTAACTATCGAAGGGCAAACCTGACTGTCACACACACTTAAGATTCTCCCACTGCTGTGGCTGCTGGAACTGATGTCATGTTCATGCTGATGCTTCTTGTACATTCTTGTTGCACTCTGAGTGCAGTGGAAGATGCCCCACCATCCTCAGTCTTCCCCATAGCCAGCCCCCCACCTGCCTGCCTCCTTGTTTAGAATCATCTAGGGCCATCTAGTCCAACAGCCTTCAAGGCAAGAATCACAGCTAAAGAAACCCTTACAGATGGCCATCCAACCTCTGTTTAAAGATCTCCAATGAAGGAGAGTCTACCACCTTTCTGAGGGAGGCGATTCTACTGCAGCCCTGGGGTTTGCAGCATCTGCCCGACAGCTTCCTCCTCCTTAGTTTCAGTGGAAAGAGAAGGGGGAGAATCAGAATTAGTTGGCTCTGCCCATCATCGGCTCTGCTTCCACCTATTGTTCAGGCTTCCTGCCTTTGGCCCTGCCAGTCTCAGTGGGCATCAGCCACCGCTACTGAGTCACCGCCTTTCACATCTGCATGGAGAGATACCCTCCCAGCACAAGAGAATGATGCTTCATGAGAGGTGGCTAATCACCAGGCATATACTCCCCATAATGATGCTTGATAATTATATCTTAGCTTGGGTTGAAGGAGGAGACTATTTAAAAAGGCATTTGTCCTCCTGACAGTTTTACAAGCCACATGATTTCACAAGGACATCCTCTGTCGGAATCACACCCTTGGCCTTTACCAGAAGTAATCGCTCTGCTCAACTTAAGAACTGTGTCCTAAGACAGACCTGGGGCTGTGAAAGAGGTTACCACTAAGGGCCAGTGCATTGCCCTCTCTTTGATGAGCAGATCAGATGTGCAAACCTCTGACCAGCAACACCAGCAGATTCTTCTGTTTGGCTGTTCTACCACCAGGGGAAGTATTATATGGTGTGAGGGTATGATGCACCTGAATTAAGAGAGAACTTGCCATTATCCAACACAGAGATGGGGAACTCTTGCCCTCTGGGTGTTTTTGGACCTTCAGGTGATAGCAATTACTAAGGCCACAACCACACCATACATTTAAAGCACTGCAAGACCACTTTAAAGAGCCGTGGCTTCCCCTCCAAAGGTCCTGGGAACTGTAGCTTGTTAAGGAAGCAGCCGAGAGTTGTTAGGAGAGCCCTGTTATCCTTTGTTGTTGTTGTTTAGTCGTTTAGTCGTGTCCGACTCTTCGTGACCCCATGGACCAGAGCACGCCAGGCACCTCTGTCCTCCACTACCTCCCGCAGTTTGGTCAAACTCATGCTGGTAACCTCGAAAACACTATCCAACCATCTCGTCCTCTGTCGCCCCCTTCTACTTGTGCCCTCCATCTTTCCCAGCATCAGTGTCTTCTCCAGGGAGTCTTCTCTTCTCATGAGGTGGCCAAAGTACTGGAGCCTCAGCTTCACGATCTGTCCTTCCAGTGAGCACTCAGGTCTGATTTCCTTAAGAATGGATGCATTTGATCTTCTTGCCGTCCATGGGACTCTCAAGAGTCTTCTCCAGCACCATAATTCAAAAGCATCAATTCTTCGGCGCTGTTATCCTTACAGAGCTGCAATTCTGATGGTCCCTTAGGAAGAGGGGTCAATTGTTAAACCACTCAGAGGACTGTAACACTGTGTGGGGAACAGGAGTCTCCTAACAACTCTCAGCACTTTTAACAAACTACAGTTCCCAGAATTGTTTGCAGGGGAGCCATGACTGTTTAAAGTAGTAGCTATCTGAGCTAGTCAGGCACTTCCTATAAAGGCACTGTGAACTCCAGTATGTTGAATTTCGTTCAGCTAATCAGAACTTTAAATCTAAAGACACATTACATACAGATGCTTAACTATTGTAATATGATATTGGAGATATCATAGCCTTGCCTCCCATTCATCCAAACACCTTATGACATTCCTCTAGTAGCAGAAGCTTCAAAACAAAACAAAAGCCCACCTCCTTCAATATTCTGAACCTACTACTTCACAAGCCTGTCTCACCTTTTACTTGGCGCAGTGTATCAAATGTATGAGGGTGAGTCTGAGTGCAATTGCACAAATTCAGCATTTATTAGGGGAGGGGGGAAATCTTCCTGAGCTTGCAGTTCCAAAAGGAGGAAGATGGAGAAATGTGTGCAGATTAGTTCCAGGATAGCAGCTAGGGACAAATGTGAAATGAAATGAAATCAGATGAGTGCTGATGCAGACATACCTTAAAAATAAGCCTCCCCAGGTCTTTCTTTTTGCTTTTTGTAGGCCAGCGCTTGAGAGAATGAATGGAAGTAGGGGATCGTGTCATCTAATTGCCGCATTGTTTACAGCATTGTTGAATTGTTGTAACGTGTTGCTTTGTGCTACAGTACATCTTATTTCTTCTCAAAGAGAGTCCTTGGTGTATTTATTTGTTCTTTCCATTAAGTGGCTTAGGATGAAAACTCCAGAGTAGCATGGCATGTAATAAGTGCAAGGGCTAGACCTAGAAAGAGACTGTCAGCCACACAGAGCTGCTGACTGCTATTTTATCCTACCGCTGCAGAGCAAAGCATAGATAAGCATACTTGGGCAGCCTACCCTATCTCCCTCTCCATCCTATGTGAGGTGGGCAAGGGTGTATCCTCGAAGCTTTGGGGGCTGGTCTATTAGGGCAAGGGACGCGGGTGGCGCTGTGGGTAAAAGCCTCAGCACCTAGGGCTTGCTGATCGAAAGGTCGGCGGTTCGAATCCCCGCGGCGGGGTGCGCTCCCGTTGCTCGGTCCCAGCGCCTGCCAACCTAGCAGTTCGAAAGCACCCCCGGGTGCAAGTAGATAAATAGGGACCGCTTACTAGCGGGAAGGTAAACGGCGTTTCCGTGTGCGGCTCTGGCTCGCCAGAGCAGTGATGTCACGCTGGCCACGTGACCCGGAAGTGTCTCCGGACAGCGCTGGCCCCCGGCCTCTTGAGTGAGATGGGCGCACAACCCTAGAGTCTGTCAAGACTGGCCCGTACGGGCAGGGGTACCTTTACCTTTACCTATTAGGGCAAATGGGGCACTGCTCCACCAACCTCAGTTTGTCCTCAACCTGATGCCACCTGCCTGACTTCTTAACTACTGTACATCCAGTCCAGGGGCCGGTGGCACTAAGAATGAGGACAAGGTCATGGGCCCAACAGACCTGTACAAATTACTGCTGGTGGCTGTCAGTTTCAGAGACTGTGTGTCTTTCTTAAGAAGCAGCTCTGGCTGGAACGTGCAGGACTTGACGTCTCCCTAATCCAGAAATATCATACTTGATATCCAACAGTCATAGTGGATACTTTGACAGGATTTCAGTGATGACCACCAGCATTTCATGACAGATGTCAACCAGTCTGAGAATATTTGATTGCTGATTTCATGAGTGCCTGTCAGTCCTCCAGTCTTGGCAGCAAGCACAGAGGAAGTCCTTTAAAGCTATTCACAATACATTTACTTTGAATGGTAAAATTGCTCATTTGACATTTCTTATCACAATCAGAAAATTAGACCTGACCTTCTGCGAACAAATTTCCAGATATGGAACAAGGAAGGGAAATAGGTGAGGTGTTTTCTTCCCCCTTCCCTCTTTCTCCACACATTGCATAAAACTCAGCTTGTCTGACAAACAGGAAGGCAGGTGAGTTTATTTGTAAGACTTTGGAGCCACACAGCTAACCGTTGACCTGTTAGTGACTTTGGTATAATTCTATTTGCCCCTGATATAATTCTATTTGCCCACATAGGTCATGGTTGGGCATAATGATTAGTCATGGTGTGGAATGGGAGGAAGAATTCACAAGATCATCTGCTTACTCATAGAATCATAGAGTTGGAAGAGACCACAAGGGCCATCGAGTCCAACCCCCTGCCAAGCAGGAAACACCATCAGAGCACTCCTGACATATGCTTGTCAAGCCTCTGCTTAAAGACCTCCAAAGAAGGAGACTCCACCACACTCCTTGGCAGCAAATTCCACTGTCGAACAGCTCTTACTGTCAGGAAGTTCTTCCTAATGTTTAGGTGGAATCAGTAGCCTGCCAACAATCAGCTTGAAGGAGCTGCTGTTGGGCAAGGTTGAGGCTGGCGAGATGTTGCAAGCTTCCCGACAGCATTTAAGCCTCAGAAGAAGTTATAGAAGGGAGACAGAAGCCAGAAGACGAAGACAGAGGCCACCTCTTGGGAGAGGAAGGTGGCAGGAGGTGGATAAGGTGAACCTGAATCTGCAGGATTTAGGAACTTTTGGGAAGGGCTAAGCTGTCTCCTCCCACCACCAAAATGAGTTTGGCTACTGCTGCCTGTCAGTAAGATGGAAAAGCTGTCAAGTGACAGTCACCTTAAGAGTCTACCAGTGCCTTCGCCTGGGGCATGGCTCACTCTAGATCTGATGGCCTTACATGAAGTGACAGCAGGTGAGATGATCTGGCTTTTACTGATGGCATTGCATGGCAGCAGCATACCTGGTGGTGGCTGTTTCACCACTGCAGTCACCACCGGCAAAGGTGTCTGTTGGTGACATCTTACATCAGGGTCTACACTTGATGCTTCTGGTCTGTCAGCAGCCACAAGCTTGAACAGTGCTGTTCTATTTTATCCAGTGCTATTTTTCTAGAAAAAGAGGTTCTAGAATTCACCATAAACATCTCCCATGTTCTCTTATAATGGCAATGATGCCTACCTGAGAGATGCCGGAATTGAGTTCCAGTGAGTTCTGGCTGAAAAAAGCCCTGATTTTATCCTGCCTTTGCTCTTGCTATACTGTGGTCACTAATAGGCTGTACTCCCACTCTCCATCATTCGGTGATGACCAAGTACTGCCCACCTTGCCACCTGCTGCTGCTAACACAACTCTATGTAATAAGGACTCACACTAACAAAGCCTCTTTCTGAGCAGTTCCTTTTTCCTCCTCATCCTTTGCTTTCTAAGGGAGAAACGCTAATTGAAATTCATGCTCTTGGGCCCTATGAACCATTCAGAAGAATAAAAGCACTTAATCGCTTAATGAAATTATTGTCTCCAGAAGCGTGAAAAGGGAAAAGGGGAAGAACATAAACTATTTTATAGGAAACCCTTTGAAAACACATCTCACTGATGTTTCCATTCCTTTGTGGACTTTGTAACTCAATATGTTCCTTTCTTCACACTCCTTTTACAAAGAGTGATTGCTAATGCTATTGATATATTTCTCAGCTCTACTATTTGGCAATCATATACCACCTTGGGCTACAATCTTGCATGCTAAAGAGTCCAGCTTTTGCATTCTACCCAAGCTGGGTGAGGGGGCGGGTAGGGAATGATATAAATTTGCAATTTGGCATCCCCCCCCAAACAACAACACCCCAAAATAGCAACTCTTGGATGTGCATTTCTATTTGCAAATTTGCAGTCTGAGGAGTCAAGCTGGAAAATGCAGCACGAGAGTGTTCTCGCTGCTTTTGGGCTTTCCATGGGCATCTGGTTAGTCACTGTGAGAACATGGTGATGGCCTAGCTGAGCTACTGTCGTGACCCAGCAGGGTGTCTGTGTAACCAGAAGTGGATAATCATCAGGCTGCAGCAGCCTAACCAGGTTGAACTTGTTGATCCTAATGCTCTCATTGCTACCTCTCCTGTTTCATCATGCACAGCTCCTCAGCATATCAGGAAACTCTCTAAGGACACCTGGGAGTGATCATGTTGATGACATTATGCATCCTGCTATTGCAAAGTGAGACCAACCACAGCAATTGGAAAATCCCCCAAAGCATTCAGAAATCCTTCTGATTCCATTAGTCTCTAGGGGTGGGCCATCTCAATAGGTCCTCTATTCCAGCAAGGGGGCTGGGATGTGGGTACCATTACAGCCCATCTAAACCTTACTAGGACCAAACCATAATGATAAGACAATTCACAGTACTAAGACAGCAACATGACAACAGTGTGCTTCATCTTCATTCTTATGCAAAGTTATGCAGTTTTAATCAATTAAACAATCCATTAGAACTCATACGATTAATCAGTGAAGGTTCCTTTAATTAGGGCGGCAGTCTGAAAATAAAACATTTGCCCACGAAACCACAACTCCGCCATTTTGTCCTCCTCAGTTGGTGAAGGACTATAGTTCACTTGCAGACCATGCAGAAGGTTCCAGTTTCAATGTAGAACATGTAGACCTGGGAGAGAACCCTGCCTGAAATTCCTTAGAGCTGCTGCCAGTCAATGCAGACAATACTGAGATATATGGACCAATGGTCTGACTCAGAATAAGGCAGCTTCCTGCATCTTCCACGCTTATCAAAAGCACTGATGACAGATCAGAACGGCTGCTTAACTTTACACAGAAGGGGCCATTGGGATGCTTCTGTACTCAGGAGATTTGTAATGTTTTCTCCAACCTTCGACCATCAGATAAGAGAAGTCTCTTCTCGGGCCACCAGGGGGTGCATTGGAAGATGGCCGACAATAACATCTCTCTGACCCACACAAGGTAATTAAGAGGCTGCTATGGGAGTATGTAGCCCTTGCCCCCACAAGAGGATGGGGGGGGGACTGCCTTGCCAGCTGTGTCCATAATTCACCCCCGGATTCGAAATAAGGGGGTGTGGACACTTGGCACGAAGCCCTCGAGTGAGATCGGCTCTCCCTGACGCTGTCTCCAATCAGCGCACTGGTTCACATTAGCTCGAAATATATAATTGGAAATATATAATTGGAAAGAAGCTAATGCACATACATCAAGTGAAGATCGGGAGTAAAGACTGCTGATTAATGGGATCTCTGGGAGTGGAGCGACGGGCTGGATAAATAAATCAAGTGAAGAATCATCATTAAAAGACTGGTGTGTCGGAGTGAAACGGAAAGGGGGGGGAGGAAAAAACTTTTCTTTCTTTGCCTTATGTGAGTACCAATAACCCTCCCCTCCAGAGAGAAGAAACATTGTGATTATTAATCACAAGCAGGAGACTAAGAACTGTGTGGGAATGAATTACTGATTAAAGAGAGAACTGGTGGAAACATCGGGGAATGGAATGAAACTTTTATGACGCAGCAATAAATGGAATCTCGTGAAGACAGGCTTGCCTAAGGAGGACGAGGGGGGGGAGGACCAGGGTCATTGGAATGTGAATGTATGGTTATCGGAACGTTATCTTGACCTGGCAGGGCCCTCTGAGATATAGATTGGCAAGCCTGTAAATCAACGGATGGACTGTGGGAATGTTTTTAACGGAGGTGTGGAAATGGCGCCTGTCCTTTATGTGATATGATTTTTGAAGAGTGTAAAACCCACACAGGAGATGTTTGTCTTTCACCCGCTTGTGAAGATTATCAGAGATCACAAAGAAAGGAATATATGATAACAACAAGAAGATGAAGAAAATAACAAAAAGACTATCTGGACAGAACTGGATAGAACTGTTTAATCAAAGCAGCAGCAAGAGTGATGTTTGGACCCCTTTCGGAGCTTGAAGTATGGATACCCCCAACAAAAATTTTAAAAATTTGGCTGTATAATTTTGAATTAATGTGATTTGGAATTAATGTGATTTGATTGGCCTGTTAATAAAAATTATTATTATTTTTTTAAAAAAGAGAAGTCTCTTCTCTAACTGAATCTTCTAGCTTTGGAGTAAAAATAATCAACATCCCAAATGCTGTTTCTGTCTCCACAGTGAACGTAGAAATGGCCTTAATGCTGGCATCTGCAAGAAGACTAGTGGAAGCTTGACTTCCGGGTTAGCGCGATCGGCTAATGGCGGATTCCCTCCGAGCTCTGGAGGGAATCGGCTCTGCTGGAGATGGGTCCTGCCGTGGCGGCAACGCGGGGACCCTCAGAAACCGCAGGCGCTGAAGCCTGCGGACTTGGTGACTCGGCGGGCACCTTAAGCGCCCCCCGACCCACGAAGAGCCTTTTTAAAGGCTTCGGAGAGGGTACGGAGAGTGGCGTGGTGCTGTGAGTAAACCGCTACTCCAGTGGAGTGAAGCCGCGAGCCATGGCCGGAGAGCGCTGACTTTTTTCCTTGAAAATTCGGACTGGAAAAGAATCAACCCGTGAGTAAAACGGAATTGGGATTAAAAATTTTCTTTCCATTTGAATTCGGTACGACCGGGGGATGTGCTAAAAGGAAGTCCACACCCCCCTTCCTGCAGATGATCTAAAGCAAGAATTGGATAACTAAGGTGGAGAGACCATTCCTCTCCTTGTGAGATAAAAGATATTAATTTCATGATTGGCATAAGAAGTTTTGTGCTGGAGGATAAGTGCTGAATTTTAGAAGTTGCTGTGTAACCCCCCCAGACCCCGGGAGCGTCCTGCGAGCGATCCTGTTGAAGAGAAATAAGGAGTTTGACAGCTGTCAAGGAGCTGTCAAACGAGTTGTCAAAGGTGGAAAGACTTGCTATTTATTATCTTTGTGGATTAAGTGTGTTACATTTAAACTTAAGTTGTGGGAAACAAAGAAGAAATAAATAACAAGGTAACGGACTGTTGGAAAAGGATTATTAAGTAACCAGAATCCCTCTAGGGGGAATTCTGAGACATTACAATGGCTGCAGATGGAAAATTACAGGCCGAGCTTGAAAAAATGTTCTTTCTCGTGGGAAAATTACAAGACCAGAGTACAGCTATGGCTAGAAGGATTGCGACCTTGAATTCTAAAGTAAACAATTCTATTGACTGTGCTAAGGACTTGACTGGAAAAAATTCTGCAGCCGAATCAGAAGAGATATTGTCAGAAACTGAGGAGAGGGAAGAAGGAGCGGAAAAAGTTCAGGTGGAAATGACCAACCAGAAGCCTATAATTGTGGAATACAAGGAAAGTAAGATGTGGTCTATGAAAATCTGGATGGAAGCTAAGAATGAAGAATGGAGTGATCTCCCCATGGGGAGATCGGAAGATTCATGGATTACAAATTTGCTTAAGACAAAAGAGGGAGCCTCTGGGACACCTGGAATATTTGGGTTGAAAAGAAGCAAGAAATATGATTGGGGCTCCACTTTTGAACATGGAGGACTGGTTGGAAGAAATTTTGATTTTACAGAGATAGAGCTCCTTCGAGACCTGCTGACCAACATAAAGGGCTACCAACAAAATCGGCAGAGAGGGACTGACAGAGACTTGAAGGCCTCGGACGTGAGAAATCCAGGCTAAGAACTGTCATTGTGGACAATTATTCTTTTTTTGGGGGATGGGACTGAAACCGGGAAAGGGGGGGGATGAGAGTAGAATTTTAAGAATTTTTATGTCTTTTTTGTGTTTAGTTATCATGATCAATAATTAATATAAAAAGGGGAAATTTGTGGAAGGGAATCGAGGTCGACCTTAGAAAAGGATGTAATGTTTATAATAGCTGTGTATAAGTTAAATTTGGCTAATTAAGAAGAACCAAGTTAAAAAATGATAATAATATTGTAAGGATGAGAGATAAGAACTTGCTGAGTTAACTATTGGAACTGGGATGCATGAGGGGGAGGTGAGGGGAAGTCAGGGAAAGTGGTTAAGAAAGTAAGGATTTGAAATTATACATGTTTGTTTTTGTCTTTGTGTGTTTGTGTTGTCTATATAAAATGTGAAAACCCAATAAAAATTTATTTTTAAAAAAAAAGAAGACTAGTGGAAGCTTGTCACATTGCAACATCTCCAGATACCACACATTTTGCAGTTGACTGGCTGGGAGTAGAAGTCACCTGGGCCACTCTTGGGATCTTTGGGATGGGCAGCATTGGGTATAACTTAGCAAAGAGAGCAAAAGCTTTTGACATGAACATCCTTTGTCACAACAGGAACCACAGAAAAGAGGAAGAAGAACAGGCAATTGGTGCCACTTATTGTAAAAACATAGAAGACTTGCTCCGACAGTCTGACTTTGTGATGTTGGTTGTGAATCTGACATCTGAGACACACAAGCTCATTGGGAAAAGGGAGCTGCAGCTGATGAAACCCACGGCTACTCTCATCAACATCTGCAGAGGCGCAGTAGTTGATCAAGATGCCTTGGTAGAAGCGCTCCAAAATGGAGTTATTAAAGCTGCAGCTTTAGATGTGGCTGATCTTGAACCATTGCCAAGGGATCACCTCTTATTGCTACTGAAAAATGTTATTATAACTCCTCACATTGGAACTGCAACTGTGCAAGCCCTGCTTATGATGACAGAAGAAGCAGTGGGAAATATACACACTGTTCTCAATGATCTCCCCAGTGAAATGATCACCAAATAGTTTGATGGAGAACATTAATAATCAATGGCTGATCTGCAAAGTACACCAACCGCTAAGTAACAATGGAGTATGAGAATCAAAACTCATCCTAGCTTTCATTTATGGCCTCCCATATTGTAACCATTTCCTGCAATTATATTCTTATGTAAAAGAACTATGTATTTTGTGTTTTTTTTTATATTGCCATTTTATCTTGTGAACTGCCCTGAGACCTGCAGGCACAGTATAGGGCAGTATATAAATTAAATAAGTAAGTAAATAAATAACTAGTTGCTGAGTATGTAGACATCTGCAAGAAGCATTATCTGTGCTCGCGAGCCTTGATCCAAATGTTCCACCTTAATAAGAGAATCACTTTGAAGTGAGTGCCAATCTCCGCCTGGTTGGTTTAGCAGCCCTTTGGGATCTTATCAGAGCCAGCATCCTTCCTTGTTAAATATATGAAGGGCAGAGAGCTGGCCAACAACACATTTCGCTGAAATACCTGGTGCCATTACAGTCAAGGGGGTTGGGGTAGCGGTGGCAATTATGCCATACACATGCAACTCTTGTTATTCCAGCACAGCCACCTAGAGGCCTTGGATCTGCTCAACAGGTGATATATTAGCCCTCTACTGGCAGTCCAAGACAAAGTAGAATAATATTGGCCAGTGTGGCGTAGTGATTAGAAGGTTGGACTAGGACCTGGAAGACCTGGGTTCAAATCCCTGCTCAGCCATGAAGCTCTCTGGTTGATCTTGGAGCAGTCTACCTCTCTCAGTCTAACCTACTTCAAAGAGTGGTTGTAAGAATAAGATTGTGCAACTCAGGAAGGGAGATAGGGAGGTGGAGAGTGATGCTGTACCTACGCACAGCTGCATCTCTTGCTTCTGTGCTCACCTGCCTGCATCCTTCCCGCCTAGTAGGGATGGATGCATATGTCAGTTTCAATTTGCAAGCCTTCAGTTCGCCACAGTTTCATATCAGTTTGCAATTTAAAAGAAAAATAAACATAAAAAATAAATAGCATTAAGGTGCATTTTTGGTAATAGACACAGTTTTATATGGAGCTTTGCATGTATGCATATTTCGTGAAGCAATTTCCCCACGTGTGATGGTATTTTCACAAATATATACATTTTTCAATGGAGGCTTTCTTCTAATGCGTCCATTAATATATGGATGGAGACTTTCACTGCAAAATTTGGAGCAGTGCAAATTTTTGAAGGATGGCTGCATTTTGATTCATGTATTGTTTTGGAATTGTGATTTAGGTACTGCATATCTAGTGCTATTTTTTTTAGGAAAAGAGGTGCCTGAACTCACCATGAACACCTCCCATGTTTTCCTATAATGGCAATGGCACCCACCTGAGAGGAGCCGGAACTGAGTTCCAGTGAGTTCCTGCTAGAAAAGAGCCCTGGGTATATCCACATTAAAATGTGATCTGAGCTGAATTTCTCTTCCCCCACCCCTGCTGCCTATTGTGGATGGAAGATGGTGGGATGTAAATGGCAAAAGCAAAAGGGAAGCAGCTCTATACCCACCACAGCATGAAAGCTGTAGCGTCTAGTGGAAAAGTAATGACTGGGTAATGCTGAAAGCTTCTGATATGGGACCACTCTGGGAGGCCCAGTTGCATGCCTATGAAGTGCAAGAACACCTGGGCAGATCAAAGGTCTCTCTCTCACACAGAGACAGCCTCCTTTCCCTAGTTAGGCTCTGAGCCTCTGCCAGCTGCTGCCAGGAACATGGGTTAGGTACATCAAGACTCTCCACATGACGTCTTCATCAGCATGGCAAATCCCTTTTTAAAAAAGACATTTGTTTCGAAGATATTCATGGCTAGCACATTTAAACATTCCAACTAGAAGTGGTGAACTCACCCCACAGGCAGGCTAATTTTAGCAGCAGGGTTCATTTCATGTTCTCAAAACTCCGCCATAATTTCTAGGTCCAATGAAGCCCACTTGCTCTTGGAAAATGAATGCACCTGTCCAGGCACCTGTCTCCTGGGAGAGCTTTGGGGATGCCACAGAAAAGGTCCTGTTTCCTGGGGATGCCAGTCTCACCTCCATACTGTATATGATAGGACCTTTAGCAGGGATAAAATGCTTGTAAAAAGAAGTTAATTTCTGATGCATGTAGACTCAATTGAGACAATGTTTTGCTATTCCACTATAGGTATAAAGCAGTCATATCACCACTTAGGGAAAAAAATGGGAATGTGCATATTAAAGTAGATAAATAGAAACGCATTCCAAGCTATGCAGAAGAAGGTTGGAGACTTCTTTTGCCTGAACTCCTTTTTGCAAGGATAGGGGGAGAAGGATCTGTCCATTTTAACATTCTCACTTTCCCATTTTTCCAATCTGAAATTCAGTTCATATTTCTGTAGCAATTTGTGATTTTTTCCCCTTAAAAAAACACACACTCATGAAAAGCATTTTAGTGTTAATGTCTCCTAATAAACCCATTTTTGTATGCAGTTTTGACTGATGTCCAAATGTTTGCAAGCAAAAATGCATTTTATATCTTATTTTTCTAAGTATTGCTTGGTTGGAAAACTTCATCACAAAATTCGGAGAAGTTTGGATTTCAAAGGATAACTGTGTTTCGGTTCTCATATTGTTTTGGAAATTGTGGAAATTGACAGAGTCACTTTTAAATAAGAACTGAATTGAATCCCCCCCCCCCCCCGTTGTCTAGCAAGCATGAAAGCGTTGCAAGAGGACATGCGGGTTGCAAAGCAAGTTGGGAACCTGGCTGGAAAGTTTGTGGCTTCTTAAAGGTGTGAGGCTTCTCCTTGTCAAAACATATTCAATGCATGTGGTCAAATGACTGCCGGGAGCTAGTGCAAGCCACCTTGGAACCTTCAGCAAATGTGATTTGTGTTAGACATGATGTCTCTATAGGTTAAAAATAACATGCCTGCTCAAACGTGTTAAGCAGGGGAACGCAAGCATCGGAAACATTATGCAAGTTGCTGCAGTTGTTAGGCATTTAATCAGATAAAGCTCAGCTGGCTCTGTCTTGGGCCTCTTCTGAGAATCTGGCTCCCCCCACCGTGTTTATGAAGGAGGAGAGCGCCATCTGTCATGTATGCCATCTGTCATGTATGCTCATTAGCTGTGCAAGTGTGACTGCCATTACTTTGAAGGAAACAGCAGCAACAACAAAACAGCTTTCGTCACACTTTGCTGCCACCCAACAACTCGGATTCAGGCAATCTGTGGACAAACGCTGGCTCCCTCGTCCTGAAGTGAGATGAGCGCCACACCCCATAGTCACCTTTGACTGGACTCAACTGACTAGTGGTCATTTACCTTTTACCTTACAGTCTGGAAATGGCAGCTGGGCGGTGAGATGGTCACACTCACAGAACAGAAACATTGTCCATCTCATCCCAGGGATGGGGAATCAGGAGATTTGTTTGCAGGACATTTTGGCAAAAAAGGAAAAAAGGTTCCTTGAGAAACAACTGTTTCTATACGGCCTAGGACCCTCGCACCTACGGGACAGCCTCTCCTGGTATGCCCCACAGAGGAACCTATGGTCTGCAAATAAAAACATCCTGAAGGTCCCAGGCCACAGAGAGGTTAGGCTGGCCTCAACTAGAGCCAGGGCTTTTTCGGCTGCTGCTCCAATCTGGTGGGACGCTCTGTCACAAGAGACTAGGGCCCTGCGGGACCTGACATCTTTCCGCAGGGCCTGCAAGACAGAGTTGTTCCACCAGGCCTTTGGTCAGGGCGCAGCCTGACTCCCTCCTCTGGCAACCTGCACAGAATTTTGTTTAACAGTTGCCATCAATTTGATTTTAATTAAATTTTATAATGAAATGTTTTTAGAATGTTGGATTATTTGATTGTTTGATTATTTGATTGTTGTTAACCGCCCTGAGCCTGGCTTCGGCTGGGGAGGGTGGGATATAAATAAAATTTATTATTATTATTATTATTATTATTATTATTATTATTATTATTATTATTATTTTATTTACAAGAAATACAAATCAGCCTGAGTAGCTTAACCACCCATGTTCTGACCATAGCTCTTCTTCATTGGTCTGTAGCAAACACATATAAATAGGAAACACATACAAAAAATAAATAAATGCCTATTCAAAATACTCCATACAACAGGAACAGAAGGAAATAAATTTAAATGTGAGTGACAACACCTGTAAACAAAAAAAAATGTTATGGTGAAAATGTTGTAAAGTGACTAAAAGACCATTAAAACAAACCAATGCATGTATATGTGAACCAACAGAGCGTGAGTAATGATATAAATTCTGCAGAGCTGAAATGGTGCATGGAGAAAAAAATTATCCTAGCTTTGAAGCAGCCTGCAAAAAAAAATACAGTAATCCAAAAAGGTACAAACACACACAAATAAATGTGTACACACATATTGAATCTGGAAAATTGCTATGTACCAGTTATTGTTGTTAGCTGTCTTGAGAGACAATGGAGTGCGCCTCTGGGGGTGAAGTCAAACTGCTGCCTTAGCAGCACTGAAGTGACCTCCTTGAGGCGCAAGCCTGGGCAGTATGTATGGAGGTCCTGAGATGCCCAGACAACAAGAACCCACTCTTCCAGATGAGGTCCAAAGGAAAGCAAAGCAATATGTTTGGTACCAGCTTGGCTGCAGGAGTTGCCAGAGAGATGTGTACATGGTACCATCCAACCATCTTAGGGACTCCACTCTGGGTTTGTGTAGGGCTTACTCCTTAGCCTTTTCTTCTCCTGAAGATATTCCCACAAGGCAGCAGAGGATTAGGAGTAGAGTTTTCCTTCTTCTAGGTGAGCCAGCGTGGTGTAGTGGTTAAGAGTGGTAGACTCGTAATCTGGTGGACCGGGTTCGCTTCCCCACTCTTCCACATGCAGCTGCTGGGTGACCTTGGGCTAGTCACACTTCTCTGAAATCTCTCAGCCTCACTCACCTCACCTCACAGAGTGTTTGTTGTGGGGGAGGAAGGGAAAGGAGATTGTTAGCCGCTTTGAGACTCCTGAAGGGGA